TCCGGACCATTCCGGAACTCCTCGTGATGTCCGGGATCTCATCCGGGACTCCGAACAACCTTCGGTAACCACATACAATTTCCCATAACAACTCTAGCATCACCGAACCTTAAGTGTGTAGACCCTACGGGTTCGGAATCATGCAGACATGACCGAGACGTTCTCTGACCAATAACCAACAACGGGATCTGGATACCCATTTTGGCTCCCACATGTTCCACGATGATCTCATCGGATGAACCACGATGTCGGGGATTCAATCAATCCCGTAAACAATTCCCTTTGTCAATCGGTATGTTACTTGCCCGAGATTCGATCGTTGGTATCCCAATACCTTGTTCAATCTCGTTACCGGCAAGTCACTTTACTCGTTCCGTAATGCATGATCCCGTGACTAACTACTTAGTCACATTGAGCTCATTATGATGATGCATCACCGAGTGGGCCCAGAGATACCTCTCCGTCATACGGAGTGACAAATCCCAGTCTCGATTCGTGCCAACCCAACAGACACTTTCGGAGATACCTGTAGTGCACCTTTATAGCCACCTAGTTACGTTCTGACGTTTGGTACACCCAAAGCATTCCTACAGTATCCGGGAGTTGCAGAATCTCATGATCTAAGGAAATGATACTTGACATTAGAAAAGCTTTTAGCAAATGAACTACACGATCTTGTGCTATGCTTAGGATTGGGTCTTGTCCATCACATCATTCTTCTAATGATGTGATCCCGTTATCAATGACATCCAATGTACATGGTCAGAAAACCATAACCATCTATTGATTAACGAGCTAGTCAACTAGAGGCTCACTAGGAACATGTTGTGGTCTATGTATTCACACATGTATTACGGTTTCCAGTTAATACAATTATAGCATGAACAACAGACAATTATCATGAACAAGGAAATACAATAATAACCATTTTATTATTGCCTCCAGGGCATATTTTCAACAGTGCCACGCTGGCTAGTTAGCTACTATGTTGGCGCGGTCGTAGAGCCTCCACAAAGATCTGCATGCTGCCACGCAGGCGCCTGCTTAGTTGGCATGCTAGTCATCGCACTGGAGTGGTGGTGAGGTAGCAAATCCTTGCCGGGCACGGTCTGGCCGCGGCCCAGCAATCGTCTCCCGCAAGGCTTGCCGGGGGCCTCGCAGTCGTTCCCAGCAAGGGTCTTGTCGGGGGACTTTGTCTCCGAGTCCCACGTGGACCCACAGGTTATCAATCTTCACAAAGATCTGCATGCTACCATGCATGCGTTCCCAAATCTTGGCCTTAATGTTGTCGATGGTGTCTGAACTCTCAACCTCAAGAGTGATGGCCTTGCTGGTGCTGCGTAGGTTGCCTCGGCAAGGAGCTTGCCGGGGCTACACACGCCGCCCCGGCAAGGATGCTGTCGGGGGAGGTCCAGCCCGTCCTCCGCTCCTTGTTCATTGAGTGATGTCTTGGTAGTTTCGTGTTTTGTCTTCTGCCGCCCTGTCAAGCCTCGCCGCGGGCGTGGCTACAACCG